AAGTATATAGAGGAAGAAAATGGCAAGAGGCAGGACCAAGCAATACCCGGCCAGAGGGAACAACAACATTGTGCAATGTGCCCGTGAAGTGGTCCAGGGTCTCGAGCACGGGCACGATCCCTATGTCGAGGCTCTCCTGCTCCATGCTTTCTGCGGAATCGTCAAGGGTAAAAAGCGCCAACACCGGATCCTGTGGATCCGTCCACCGGAGCAGGGGCTTGCCCTGCGGGGGTGAGCCGCTGCCCATCGACATCAGGGCCAGGGATGACTCCCCACCGGCCCCAAGCGCCAACGACCCCTCTCATCGTGACGTCCCCACCGGGACGCCCCCTCCAGTGATAGAAGGGGTCAGCGGTGCAGACGTGAACCTCTCTCCCAGCACCACGCAAGGCGCCGTCGCTTGGGCCGCTAATGGCATGAGTCGCACCGATGCCTCAGGCGACGTTTCGGTTGTGCCCGGCTGTGACCCGTCTGTCATGGCTGCCGCCACCTCCACCTACATCAGCGGGGACACGACTGGCTGCATCGCGCGCACCATGGTTGGCGCCACAAGCGCGGTAGGCATCCCCGTCTGCCCCGCCATCGGTAGTGGTATCACGGCCATCACCGACTGCTCCGCGACCTTTGAAGGCGCCCCTTGAGCACCCATGTCCACATGTCCCGCCGAGGGCATAGGCGCCACAATGGGCGACGCCTAACCGGCCAGTGACACAGTCATGCTGGTACCGCTCCCGTCCAAAACGAGCATGACACCAGACGACGGCCGCCACCGCAATTGGAGGGTGATGCTCTTCTTCGGCGCTAGCGCCAAAGGCATCCGCTGCCTGTCGACGCTGCAAGGGATGAAAAACATAAGTCACGATGAGATCCGACTAAAACAGGAAAAAACAGTGGAATTGACAACTCACCTCGGCGCCGTCGGGCGGAAAACGCGTTTGGGGGATGAACCCCCTGACCCTTGCTTCGCCTTATCAGAACGAGGCCGTTTCGAGCCTGCCCCCTGCTCCTGGGCAGAGAGGCTCGCCCCTGGTAGCTCCTGGGGCATGTTGGCAGAATGCTCCGCTCCCCTTGGCTCTTGGGGCACGACGGCGGAGCCACCCACCTCTGCTGGCCCCTCGGGCGCGATGGCAGAGCCGCTCGCCTTTGTTGGCTCCTAGGGTAGGCCGACGGTACGTCCCGCCTCCATCGGCTTCCTAGACGTACCCTCCCCTCCATGGAACGGGAAGGGTCCCGACGCCTGCAAGGACGAACCAACACCATCAGCGCATCCTCGTTCTCCAGATTGTCCCACTCGATATCGTCAGCTACCTCCATCACCTCATCGTCATCACCATCATCATCGTCGTCAGTGTCCTCCCCTCGTTCCCGCGCTCACAACTTCCACAACTTCTTCCTCTTCTTGTCCTCCTTTGCCTTCCTCAGCCGCTCGCCTTCGGCGCGATTCGCCACCCTCACGGCCGAATCCCATGACAGCGGCGCCGGGTGATCCGTGAGGATGAGGTCCCTCGGCTGGTCCCACCCCTCTCAAAGTTAGTCTCACGGGGTCAGGAAATCAATTGAAGAGAAGGCAAGAGAAAGGGAAACTTACGAGGATAACGTAGCCTAGCTCCGGCCGCATCGGAGGATGCCCCAGCACCAGGAAGACGAAGTCGAGGGCGGCACCCGCGTTGTCCCACAAAGGCTCCATCGCCTCCATGATGCGTTGTGCGATCTTGGAGTTGGGGAGCATTCCCTCGGCGAGCGCCGTTCCGTCGAACGATGCCTCGGGCGCCATCGCATATAGCGAAAGCGCGCGCGTCATCAATGGCGCCACCCTCCTCGCGTGGTAAGCCCCGATGACGCCCGACCCTTTTAGGCCGTTCTCCTTTAGGAAGTGGATGGCGGCGATGTGGTCTCGGATCTTCCTCTTGTCCTTGTCCGGGACGCCCCACTTCCTCCACTGCTCCGGGGCCTCTTCAATCAGGCGCCCGATGAACTCCGGTAGAGGGGCGGCGGCGTCATTCTTGAGGTAGAACCACTACGAGTGCCAGCCCTTGTTGGACGTCGAGAGCCACATGGACGGGTACTCGTCGACCCGATTGATCCAAAGTTGGATGCTGGCGCACCCCATTGGCATGTGTAGCTCCTGCCTGCCACCCTTCTCCCTCTTCTTCTGGAGGCTGACGGCGAAGAAATACCTCCACAAGTTGAAGTGGGGACTGATCCCCAGGAATCCTTTACACTAGCGCGACAAACGCCGCCATGTGCTGGATCCCATTGGGATTGAGATGATGCGGCTCGATCTTGTAGAAGTGCAGCAGCCCCCGGAGGAATTTGTGGGCGGGGGTTGCGAGCCCACGCTCGTGGAAGTGGGCGAATGACACCATGTAGCCGTCGGGCGGCGATAGCGAATCCTCGTCGCCAGGCAGCAACCAGTCCTCGGCCGAGGTCCGTGCGCGGAGAAGACCGCGATGGACGAGGCCCTCCATGCGTTGGGAGGTGATGTTAGAACAGCACCATGGATCCATTGGAGATGGGGGCGGATGGATGCGAGCTCAACGGCGGCAGAGGAGCGGAGACTATGGATCTAGGGCTTCGATGGCGAACTAGCAAGCACGGCAGATTTGAAATGGCGGCGGCAGAGAAACAGAGAAGGTAAGATTGCGGTTTTGGTGAGCAGAGACATCAAGGGGAAGGCCACTATTTATAAGGCGGAGCGGGGCGAGAAGGCGAACCATCCACCTAGATTCAAGCACCCGCCGTGCCACGACACGACATCTCCCTCCGAAGATCATGCGCACGCAACCTCTAGGCGTGCCCTTGAAGGACACGCCGGATAATGATTCGCCCGGTCGATAAGCCAAGAAGCAAGGTAGGTAAGGAGGGATATAGAGCTGAAAACGCTCCTACGGCCCATTCGGGCCCTGGAGTTTGAAAGCCGGCCTACTGACGGGTTCATGGCCGCTTCGGGGCACCCTAAGAGTGAGGGGTGGAAAGGGATGGGCCCGCTAGCAGCTAGTACCCGGGCGCACGAGCGCCGTGGGCATCCCGGCCCATGTTCGAGTCTCGACCGGATACGATCTATGGTTTTTCCTCAAAGAAAGGCAGATAGCCCTCGGGACCGATCGAACAGACCCGAGAACTATATGGATTGACCGCTGAGAATCTGGAGTCGGTCACCAGCTGACCCAAGCCGGACCCCTGTGAACGGGATGCTGGGGCCCCACTGGGACTAGCCCGTTAACAGCTCACCGAGTGCCATGATTCGTCCATAGAGGAAAATCATGGCACGGCACAACCCCTCCGTTTTTATCGAAAAAAACGTTTGAGGGAAAACGATCACAAAGACGAACCGACCCTCGATCGGACCCCTGCTACAGGTGGGGGCTCGAGGAAAGTTAGACTCGCAAGGAGACCGAACGCGCGGTCGCAGAACGACAGACCCCCGTAGGGCTCGAAATTAGGAAAGACCTTTTGCGAACCACTAAATCTCACGGCTATACCTTCGAGGGGTCAGATCGCGACTAAAGAGAATCGTCGTCCCTAAGACATGCCGTGGGTGACAAAGGAAGGACAAGGCCCTCAGAGTCCTCCCATTCGGAAAAGCCTCCGAAGGAGTTTTCTACTCCTCCGCAGGCTCGGGGGCTACTGTCGGGGACCAATACTAGGGTACTTGAAGAGGAGCTAATGGTCATCAATATTGATTCATCCGAGTAGTCAAGAGCGCGACTATAGCTCCAACCGACCCCCAGGTGCGCGGGCTCCATCTCGCCCGACCTCTGGGGAGGGCTCCGCCTCGCCCGACCCCGAGACCGCGGGCTTCGCCTCGCCCAACCCCGAGAACGCGGGCTCCGCCTCGCCCGACCTCTGGGGGAGGGCTCCGCCTCACCTGAACCCGAGGCCGCGGGCTCCGCCTCGCCCAACCCTTGGGTTTGCGCTCCACCTCGTCCAACGGGGTCCTATACCGCCGTCAACCACTCTAGGTCCAGGCGTATGGACTTGGGTCAAAACTCTGACACAAGGAAGAGACCGGCACGCCCCGATGTAACCCGTGGCCATAACGGGCCATACCTGAGGGTTCACGTTGAGAACAGCGTCGGGCGTGCCGGTGCTGTTCTGTCTGACCATCGTACGAGCGCTGACAGGCGCGTCGGTTCATCACGATGTCCGCCGGAACGGAATGGAACGCCATGACCAGTAGACGACGCCCGCGCATGGCGCTAGTGACGGACAGGGCCACGACGTAGAGCTGTCCCTGTTGACATCTATAGGATCGGCGGGACCCACATGAAGGAGAAGAGGCACCCGGCGATCCTGAAGGCATTCTTCTCTCTCGTTCTTCTCTTTTCCTCCGCTGTAACCCGTGCTTTCCCTTGGCCTATAAAAAAGAAAACAGGGTGTCCCATGAAGGGATCTGATTCAAGCTAGATCAATCGACCCATCGAGACCGAACCACGAGATAAACACGACACGAACACACGGCTGAGCAGCAACCGAGCTCTCAGCACCCGTTCACTCCTATCAGAAACTTGGGATCATTTCTCTCTCTCGCCTGTTTGTAACCCCTATTATAAACTTTCAGTGCTATTAACATGAGCAGCAGCGACGAACTGGACGTAGAGACTTTCCGTCTGAACCAGTATAAACCTCATATCCTCTTAGCACACCATCCAAACCAGGCGCATAAATACAAATTTACTCGTCAGTGATAACTCGAAACACCGACAGGAACGACATTGAATTTGGACACAACTTCACCAAACGGATGTGCTTGTTATTCAAATACTGTGAAAAACACACTGTTCATATAATCATTAGACCAGACAAGTTTAAGTGTCAATTTTACATCAAGATCAAAATTCAACCACGAAGGTAAAAAAAAAAAGTAACAAAAAATCGCTAACTCTATGAGTGGAAACTTCGTTCCACAATAATGGCTGTAGGTTCATATTCACCCGACGGGGGGCTAATCCTCTGTTGTGTAACTTAGTTCCATCAAGAATTCTTCAGATCTCTGACCTTCAAGCCCCGATGTTCTCAATGCTAGCGCCTTTGTTGATTCTCTTGAGAATACCTGCTATAACCTGGATGCCAGAAAAACAAAAGGATAATTCAAGAGCATTACTAGTGAGTTCGGTTATTAAGAATCCTTCAAGCTGCTATACTAACTTGGAAAAACTGCTATAACTCAGGAAACATTACTAAACAATAAATAAATCACAAACAGGAAACTAATCACTTACCTTTCCTGGTCCGAGTTCATAACTTTTCTCAAGCCCCTTGCCCATAAGAGTCTTAACAGTCGTTTCCCATTGCACTGGAGAGGTTACCTGTTGTGCAGGTCGGTCAGAGCCATGCAACCGTCAAAAATCACTTCACCCTAGAAACTGGCAAGCCTAGCCTGCAGTAAGAATTCAAGTTTTGGTATAGAACTCACCTGCTGCGCTAAAATCTGCTTGATGGTGTCAGGATCTGAGTGGGGCTGCGCATCAACATTGGAGATGACCGGGATTCTAGGTGTTCTAATCTCAGTGGCAGCCAACGCAGATTCCAACCTTGAAACAGCTGGTTGCATGAAGCTTGTATGGAAAGCACCAGCAACAGCTAGCCGAACCTGGAAATACAATGGTTAAGCATGAAAATTCCTTTGGTAAGATACTAAGATTGTTGAAACAAAAAGGAGAATGGGAGGCAGAATAACTGAAAACTGTAATATGCTTAACCATATAAAATTATAGATAATATTTCAATAAATATGATTCAAGCAAAACATTTTTGGAACACTAACCGTCATTCTGGCCTTGAAGGACTTTGCTTTGGCTTCAACTACTTCAATACCTTTTACACCACCAGAAACTGCATAATTCCCCTGCAATGTATTTTTATGTACTTCATTTCATATCAATCAAGAGCCAGCATACGAGGTTACCAACAGCATCAGATAAAGCACTTACAGGGCACAGAAAGTTTGCTATCTGAACTCTTTCATTTTCATCTACTTCCTCATTAGCAGCATCACATAGTTCTTGCACCTTTTCTGAATCCAGACCAATCACACTAACCATCGCACTATTGGCAGCATCTGAAGCATCCTACACAGATAATGAACATTAGAAATCAATCTACAAAACCAAACAAGCAAGCAATCTACTAGCATTACCGTAGACTACATCCACCATAGATAATGAACATTAGAATTCAATCTACAAAATCAAACAAATTATCTATTAGTGTTTCTGTAGACAAACCTGCATAGCTTCTCCTCTTAGCTTGACAAGCTTCAGTCCGTCCTCAAAGCTGCATGGTGATACAGGATGTGTTAGTGTGCAACTGTGCATAGTTGATATACTATAAAATCCAAGTTACAGCTGCAAAAGTACGACTATCATGTACGCTTTGTTCATTCCATGATGGACATGGTTTGACATAACAAACAAGGTGCTTCTGGATAGAACGAATGGAGTACCTAAAAGCACCAGCAAATGCAAGAGCAGTATATTCTCCCAAACTGAGACCACATGTAACATCTACAGAGTTAATCACATCTTGGCCCCCATCGCGTGCACGTAGTACCTCTACTGCTGCAAGGCTGGTAACATATATAGCCGGCTGCAAAAAGAACTATTCAGCAGGCAGAACATAGCACTTAATTGACAAGACTGCAAAAAAACTGTAATTCAAAGGAATAATCCTATGCAGTCTTAGAGCATGTACAATGGAGGTGCTTAGAGGAGATGCTTAACAAAAAAACTTTTTCTTCAACCATAGCACCCGATGCTTCGAAGGTGGATAAGATGCTTAAGTTAGCACCAATGCTTAATGTGTGTCAAGGAGGAGGTTAAATCTACCTAAGCATCTGTTTGCATTGTAGGAACACACAGATGCTCAGTGGTATGACAACATTCTCTCTTCTTAAGCATATATGTCTAAGCATCTTGCATTGTACGTACCCTTACTCATACAAATATACAATATATCTTATTTAAAATAAAACCAACAAATTAATTTCTGGGGATCCTGACCACAATTGCAAGCTCCAAAATGCAAGTATTGGTAACCAAACCAGAGGAGGGCACTGCTTAAGAACTGCACAATAGAGCATCTCCAATAGTTCCTAAAAAAACAATTGGTAAATCAATGAGTTTTCCAAGTTGCTAAAAAGAAGTAGGGAGCATATTTGTTGCCTTTCTCCAACCATTTCCAATATCTCACTCCTAAAGGTAGAAGGTAATTTTGCATCAGGAATCCCCGATTATTTCCAAATCACCCCAGCCACTTTTTATACTTCCTTTCTCTCTTGTAAATTTGCATTGGGAAACCTATTCTTTCTCCTTTTCCTCCCCACATCCTTCCACCTCTGAATTGGCCGATGGATATGCACGCGTATATTTCCGCATGGAATGGGAGTTGAGATAAGGAGTTGTTGGAGAGAGAGGGTTTTTTCAATCTTGCCAAAAAATCAAGATTGGGAGTGTGTTTTGGAAACTCTTGGAGATGCTCTTAGAATCTGGGATTTCTAAGCCAAGCATATAAACTACAAACTACACTATATGGATCAGGAAACTTATTTTGGTGGGACACATTTAGCAGGAGCAAATAAGTTGCATGGAAAAGAAAATGAATTAACTATGCATGGCAGCACTGGTGCAAATTACTTGGGACTATGAAATCCACATACCTGACTGATCACTGTTGAGTCAAGCTTTTCTTTTGGCCCATTGGTGCAAAGATCCAGCAAATCATATCTATATTAACCAGTATGAAAGGAACAAGTTAGCATGAGCACTATAATTATTTTCCTTGGAAGGTGAGCGACTCAGCGTTCGTGGACTATAAATAAGTACTGCAAGCGCAGGAGAGACAGAAAACGCGTAGATACTATCAGAGGTTTGGAGATACCCCAGGATTTCATTTGCCTGGTTGAACAATTTGGTAGCTGCTGGAACACTCTGAGCTTCTGCCCCCATTCCAACGGTTTGGGCACCCTGAAATCAAAGCATCCAGCAATAAATGGACAGGGGAATAGGAGACAGGCGTAATGATGTCGGCATGACTCAAAGGTACTACTATTTATTTTTTGGAGAACGGTAGAGGTATTTATTTATAGTAACTCAGAATTATGCAATTACAGCAGCACTAAAGCACCAAAATATAAATCAACAGAAACTTCTGTGGCCAAATTTTGATGTACGTTTACTGAAACGTGCAAAAAGGTGACCATTCATTGCCAGGCTTCAATTCCAAAGTTAAGACATTCTCTTGCATGAACCATCGTATAGTGATAACCATTCAAAGAATTTACTCATGTGGGTAATCCACACGCGCGTGCACACGGCCCTCAACTTACAAAAAGAGGGCCTCACCCTCACCGTACCTGGCCCGGGAAGAGGAAAGTGGTGGTGGGCTTATAGTCGGCGAAGAGCGCGTCGGCGCCCACTGCAACCTCGGAGCCAAGGGACACCCTGGCCGACGAATACCTAGATCTGGACGACAGCGCCACCCTCGCGGTCGCCGGCGCGGCAGCCCGGGCCCGGCGCCCCGCGAGCGGGGCCGGCGCAGAGGGCCTGAGGACGGCGAGCGTGGAGGCCATTGGGGAGCCCGGAGCTAGGCGGAGGCCGCGAGGCGGGAGTCGCGGCAGCGGTAGGCGCGAGGGGGCGAAGAGCATGCGAGTGCCAAGCTTTTGTAACTGTATACAGGCGGGGGAAGATGGCTGGGGCTGTCCAGTAGGTTGGCAGTGGGGAGGGCAGGCGGAGCTCACGAGGACGGACGAGGTGAGCGAGGACGACGGCGGTGTGCTGGGACGAGTTGCGCGAGGCAGGCCGAGAAAACGGGCTAGCTGGTTTTGGGACGGCCAGGCAAGACGGGTTACTGGGCTGTGGTGCTTGATGCTTGGTGGGCTGAAATCTTTCTCTCGCTCTGGACTTGAGGTCTTTATATCTTACCTGGGCTTTCTAAGGCTTGTATTTTCGTCGGGCTTAGGTACTTAGTGGGCTCGTTTGTTGGGTCATAGACGGCAGTTTCTTTAAGCTTTAACTGGGCTTATAGCCGTAAATGACATGTGTAACGATCTTGGGTCCATCCTGCTTGTAGGACACTAGAATAACGGTAATGCTACCATTTAAGATGTCCGCAACGCCAGACGTCTCGCTCCACTCACTGCCGCATACGCCGTTCGTCTAAAAAAATAACAAATCCCCACGGAAGCTCATCTCCCCTATTCCGCACCCTGCATCGTGGCTTCACGGTGCCATGCAGCAGTCCGAACGTCCCAATCCGCCACGCTTCCGCCTGCATCCCGCGTCGCCGCCGACTCTGGCGCGCCGCCGCCGCCCGCCATCTCCCACGGCGCCCCCATCCCCGTGGCACCTCCGTCTCCCGTGGAGAGGAGTCCTCCGTGTGAGGTACACTACCAGCCGCCGCACCGACTGCAGCTGTTGTCGAACCCGGTTGCCGGTGCCTCACCCTCCGCCTCCGAGCTCCATGCGCGTGCTCGGTGAGTGCAGCGGCGCCTCCGTCCCCCGCCGTGTTGTCGTGCTTCGTCCTTCGTCGCACCCAGGCCAAACGGCCAGGAGAGGGGAGCGTCGTTGGCCAAGCCCAGGCCAGGCGCTGGCGCAACTGGCCACTACCAGGCCGCGCCAACGTTCCCCGCTTTGCGTCATACGGAAGAAGGGTGAAAACGCATGTTGCAAGTGTCTGTTTTAAATGTTTCAGATGTATGTTGCAAGTGTTTTATATGGATGTTGCAAAAGTAGATCAGGATGTTGCATATATTGCAATGGTTGTACACGTATGTTGCAAGCTCTTGTTCTCAATGTTTCATCTGGCTTTTTTCAACGTATGTTGCAAGTGTGTTTATCTGGATGTTGCAAATGTTTTCACACAGATGATGTAAGTGTTTTATCTGGATGTTGCGTATGTTTACCATAGTTTCAAGTGTTTTTCAGGTGTTTTTTAAGTATTTCAGACACATGTTTCAAATGTTTCATTTGTTTTCAGTCGTATATTGCAACTGTTGCATCTGGATGTTTCAAAACTAGATCGAGTGTTGCATCTTCCTCCTTGCCTTTTTGCTATCATGTCTCGGTGTCAGGCGTGGGAAGGCGGAGATAGTCCCCACTGGCATCGGTGGGCCCCACGTGCTTTGCAGGCGGGTGCAATAGGCGAGACGCGAGACAGGGGGCAGCGGCACAGGCATCCCGACGGGGGCTAGCGTCCGGACGTTCGGGTGCTAGCCACACCCCTAGAATAAAAACATCATTTGCAAATGGAACGTTGAAATTGTACTCCGTTCAATTTTATTGCATCCAAGGTCCCATTTTGTGCCCCGGACTAAATGAGTAGAAAGAGATAGACACGTGAGGCCCAATGAGACTTTGGCGCTGGTGTGGGTTAGTTACTTAGTTACGCTTGCATCGAGTGGAAAAAAAATTCTATACATACCGTATCCATAGCTGCGCCATGCATACATGGCGTGGATGCCTCCACGTGTCGGACTTCAACGATCCAACGCGAGCCAAGGAGTGGTCCTCTCCTAAAAATAGACTCGGCTCCAGCTAAGGTCGTTCACGCGGCCACGCCCATCCGCTGTATGCCCGCATGCACCATAAATACCAACAAGTGTCAGTCATCAAGGCATGTATGCATGGCGTAACTACGGATACAGTTTCCATATAATTTTTTTCCATCGAGTGATCGAACGGAAGAGGCACGTCTGCACCCGCAATCCACGTAGACGAGGAGGATACGGTCAAATGAAGAGATGGAACGAAAGGGAGTGAGGTGCAGTGGCGCCCCCATCGGCCAACAACAACCGCGCCCTCGATTTGCCAATTGCCATCGCCAGCACGGATCACTGGGATCACAGACGGCGACCGGCGGTGCGTGGGCGCGACGAAGACCACGTCTAAGGCCCAGTTCGTTTATGCTGAATTTTGGTTTATACCGATGCTTATGCAGAAATAAGAAAAAACTGTTCCTGAAATATAGCTGAAGCGAACGGGGCGTACGCTCTGGAATATACGGTGCGGCTAAAATAGAAACGGCAGCAGCCCAAGTTGCAGTTGCACTTGCACACCGCGCGCTGCCTTTGCCGTGGAGTGCGTGCATGTGCAATTGTGTGTGGCTCCTGCCTGCCCTGGCCGAGTGGCCGTGTTTCTTGTTTCTTCTCCGGTTTTCCAAGCCATCCGTCCCGTTCCCGTCCCTGTGCTTGCACTAGGCAAGTTGCAGCATGTTGATGCTATCACTTCAATTTTTCCCCGGTTGTAGTTTTTCATTTATTTACTCCAAAAAAAGAACAGTTAGAAATGAAAGCAGGCAACGTTTTCCAAAGCAGCGTGCAAGTTCCTATCATCGTATCACCTGGCCTTTGCCAAGTGCTTTTTATCTTCACTGAGAAATAGGTTCAAGATCAACACGTTGGGCCTACACGCCACTTTGTTAATTTTGCGGGGAAAAAAGGTTCCACAATTCATGCAGAAACAGCATATATTATACGTACCTGTAATCCTTTGGTTGTTCTGAGGTGCTCTCTACACAGCTTGTGATGTGTCCATTGATATCAATGGCATGTGTCGTGTCTTTATCAATATTGAGACAAAAATACAAAGTACAGAAGGCTGGGAGATGCATGTGTGACAAGCGTGACCACCAGCCAAATAGGTCCCTATACCACTGTTATTACTTTTACTTGTCACCCAAATAAGGCTGGTGCAGTAATTTAATCCATGAGAATACATACATTAAATGTATATTTCCAAAAAAAATTCTAACTTTTTTGTGGACAAAGGACAACTTAAAATACAACCCATTTTAGCTTGTAGCACCAAAAAGAGATTACAACTAAAGAAAACATAATTGTTAGCACAGAAGTTGATAGCGAAACAAAAGTGATTCTCCTGCAAAACCGGTCTTTTGTCGCTTCAATCTAGTAGCGCAACACGTTTGGAATTTGGAATTGATTCTTGTGTTCCAGGCTAGAAGACGAAAACATTTCTGCATGCCAAACACACGAGTCTTGGGTACACTAGAAAACAAATCTCACCGTGCCCCCAAATAAGATCAAATGGTGCTTAACAGACTGCAACTATTAATTTTGACCTGTAAAATAAGACTTCATACAATCAGCTTATTCGCTTGTTGATTTCAGCTAGGACTTATCAGTCAGTCAACAGTGTTTTCCTCTCACAACAAACCATCACCAGCCAGATTTATCAGCCCAGAAATCAACCAACGAACAGGCTAAATGATCCATCTTAATTGCTGATCATCAGCATTACTTAAATCGATCAAAAACATCGTGGGAAATTATAACAACGGGATGTAACAACCAGGACAGGTCTTGCCATCCATGATCATAGAATCATATAAACGACAGTCGCCCTCAACCTTTTGGATTCGAAATAAATTTCGAAACAAACGCTTGTCTTATAATTCGTGCTTTTCAGCTTGTTTTTTCAGCTACGATAGTGTTTTTCTCTCACAACAAATTAGCCAGAACAGTATTTCGGCTTATTTTTTCAGCGAAGCGAACGGGGCTAGTCTAGCAACATGCAGTGACGCCTTTTTATCTTCTTGCATTGTCCATATTTAAATTTCTCGGGCGCTTTTCCCTGCATAACTTGTTTGTACTATATATATATATTTGGGTATAGGATTCAAAGTTGCCGGCCACATGACAAATTGGTACGGTGTATATTTTGAACAGAAATACTATACAACACATGGGTGTTTTAGCAAAAAAAAAACACATGGATTTTAGTCCACCGGATCGTTGCCTGGGTTTCTTGCGTCCGTCAGATCTGCCAAGTCGGAGACTTCCAGGTATGCGCGTATGCGAACGCGAATCTGACGACCCATGACGCGACGGCCAGGCCTCACGAGCATGATGCGAACGCGAATCTGACGACCCATGACGCGACGGCAGGGCCTCACGGCAGGGAATTGACCAACCCCTCTGTAATTTGTCCTTCCATGAAAAAAATTATTTTATGTGATATGTGATTTGTGATATGTAGATATGTGATCTTGTAATTGTCTAAAGGTAGAAGAAGGCTAGAGGTAGAAGAAGGATGAAGGCTGTTGGATCTTAATCTTATGTTGCAAAAAAATTGTGTTGAAATTGTATAAAATACATGGTTATACAGTAGACAGACTCATTTTGAATGGGGACGGATAGTTTGCCAATGCCGGCTATACATATATATTGGCATGCGTACGTACGCATTTTATTGACTTGGCTCTGTTCGCTTGAACTTATCAGCCGGCTTATCAGCTAGAATCTACAATATTTTTCTCTCACAACAAAATAGCTTGAGCCGACTTATGTATCAGCTAAACAGAGCCGTTCGATTCGAAAGGTGTGGCTCAGAAAGGAGCAATTGCTTACTAGATCTATCTGCTTTAGTACCCTATTCGACACAGTGTTCAGATAATTAAAACAGTCGTTATAGTAGTACTAGATATAAATCATAAATGTTGGTGGCGCCGACAGTACATTGTGTGCACTTGTGCGCGCGCTTTTCTTTTCGATAGATAGTAGATGGAGGTGAAGCGTGTGTCCGTGCATGTGCGTTACCATTGGCTGCAGGTGGT